GGATGCACCATCCGCTCCAAACGTAGACGATTCGTGGGAACAGACGGACATATCCTTGGAGGTCGATCCAGATGTGCTTGCTTCCGCATTCGACGAACTGGAAAGTGCTAATCTTGTGAACAAACCATGTGAATTCACATCACCAGACCGCCCTGATCCAACACCCTCTCCCACACCTGTCGGAAAGCAAGGTGCGTCCACACGGAAAAATTTAGGCGTCAAATCCTCTCTTCGTCAGACGGTGCTGAATGTGACCGCCGAGAAACCGGCCATTTCGAACACGGTTCTTCCAACGGTCGTTGACGCTTCCGAATCTGATGATCTTTTGCCCCCGGCTCCGAAACGTAAACCATGGGAGCGGAAAAAGCCTATTCCTTCAGCGAACCAACTTACGTCTGGGGAGCCCTCTACCTCTGCGACTTCGCAACTAACCAACGTCCCTCAAGGCGATTTCAGTTTCCGACCATTTTGCTATATTCAGGTAAGTTGCCAGTGTTGTATTTCATCCTAGAGGTGAGCGACTGACTTTCGATTTGCACTTGCCCCCCCCCCCGGGAGAGATTANTAGAAAAGCACCCCACAGATGTTTTGGCTTTCCTGAAATCAGCAGCACTGTGCAGCTCTTGGGGAACTCTAACCGAAGATTTTCCGTCTAATGGTGGATCACCAACCGTTCATCCAAAGGTAGGTGACCGATAGCCCGATTGACGTACGATTGGATGAGATGTGGTACTGCTCAACCACGCTCATATCACGTGTTGACCGGCTGCTCAAGTGATGACTCATCAGATGGGAGACCCATGAAGCTTGTGGACTTTTCTTCCGTCATCATCATCATCGACGGCATGACATCAGTGTTCAACACCGATGCTTCACCGCCGTACAACCATGATTTATTTGAAAGCCTTATTGTAAGGAAAAGAGTAAAGGTGGACGGGGAAAGGACTTAGTGCTAGCTTAACACAATCATTCCGAGGTGCCTACACCTCCAGACATTCACTCAGGCAATCTGGATAGAAACTGACAACAAGAACGCCACTGTCATCGGTTGGTAGCCATATCTTATAGTGTCTTCAACCAGGCACAGTGAGGATGACGCGGTCCCCATCCTGTAAGGCATACGTAACACATGTCCCAACCAACGCAGCTTCTGGTGCTGGACACATTCTTCAATGAAAGTACTCGTTACACAATCGAAAACACGCTTTCTAACTGCCTCCTTACGGATTCGCCGACACTAATCCACACGAGCTATGGTTCTGAGACAACGATTGTCGAACACCATCGCTACTGAAGAAATTCAGACGTTTTCAGTCGTACCTCCGTCCTGCATGTGAAGTAAGTCTATACTGAAACGCTTCTGAAGAAGCTTGTCCACCGCGTGCGTCCCATCAATGGGATGAATAGCCTCCAAGTGAGCAACCAGGTGCAGCAGTCCTCTAAAAGGAGTGAAAGAGGTCATCTGCCTCTTTAGGGGAGTGGTCTCTCGTCGAGAGGGTCTCGTTGATGGGGGTAGAAGAGGTGGGTTTACTTGGTGTTATTTTGCTTTACTTTGCCTATCTCCTGTGTGAGGATGGGCCGGATTCTCGAATGTGTCTCGAATCGGGTGACCGGGTGACCAGCAGCAACGCTCTTTCAGTATTCTACTCAAGTTCTTTCCGAAATGACTTTCTTACGTAAACCAAACAATCGAAAGTTGTCTTCAGTAACACGGAATGCTTGTTCTTACCGTACCGTTAGACAACCACGTGCTGAGTTTGTTCGCGCAGTCGCTCACGGGTAAAATACGTCGATATGTTGAGTACACCAGCAGCTGCTACACTGCACGACGGAGGGAACTGTCTTACTTGTAACTCGTCGAATTCCTCGAAGATGGTGGTTTGTTGCACGAAATGACGCCATGCTTGGAGATCGGGAAGCGATTAGACCAGCAATAAATTTCCTTTTGTCCTCTTTTACCGACCGAAGAACGTCAAGAAACGAGAAATTCATTCGAGTCTCTAGTGAGCCTTACAACGATGCTGGTCTCTATGTAAGTGAATGATTGACTTACCTAATGTAAATAACTCGCGAGTGTTTGAAAAAGGCGGGTTTTTCACCAAGTGGTGTCCATATCCAGCCGGCTGATGTGTTGATGCCTGAATACATCCTGCCCCGAACGCGCACACAACAGAAAGCGGGCACAGGGTGTACTTTTCTCCAACCGAAGCCCCTTTACAGAAACCAAGCCGGAGATATCACTGTTCCCTACCCTACACTGATTGAGTAAGTTGTATAGCCCACTCATTAAGTTAGCCAACGAACTGAACGCCAAACGAACTCTCCCTCCGTGTGGGTGAACTGAGCAGGCTCGTACTGCCCATGCGAAAATGACTGAAGTGATAACAGCCAGTCGACAAAATAGGAGGGTTTTCACGAGAGACTCAACTGAATCTCTCGTTTATGATATTGGTTAGCTATCTCCCACCAGTTGAACGTATCCACTTTGCTCTGCCCGTTCTTTGTAGTTTATCTTGAAGTTTTGAAGAGTGAACAAAGAAATGCACTTATTTGCAAATCAATTTGGTTTTCACGAGAGACTCAACTGAGTCTACTGTTCTACAACTAAATATGCTGCACACAGGCCGCCTCATGATTCAGTTGGCACGATGTTCGAGATATCGCAGTATATTTTCATAAAGGAAACTACTCACAAGGTTGCTGAAAACTCTTCGGCAGTCCACGACCGGTTTCGCCCTTCTTGTGATTCACCAGGTGGGCGCACTTTCCGAGTTTCCGTCAACCTTATGTTCTACTTGATCCCAAATTGGACTGATTGCGACAAATACTCTCTCTGAATATCGCTGTAGCACCCTTTCGGTGCCTGGCTGTCATGCCAACGGAAGGAGGCACGAGGGCTAGGATACTGTCAGATTTCTCAAGCCTAGACAGGAGCAGTCAAGATGCTGAGGTTGGGTTCGAACCACTGACGTCTAGTCCGTAATTTGGCGCCTTAACCACTGAACTATCCCCCAAGTGAGTTACTATCCGTTGAGAGGTTTCTTATTGGCGGACTACTGTACGATATTCCAAAAAAATTAGTTGAAAAATTAGAGAAAAACTGGTCTTCATGTAGCGCAGTAAACGAGAATTAATCAAACAGGTCAATTTTGCCAACTCTACGAAAATTCTGCCCAGTTATAGGCCGAAAACGGAACATTAATCCAATCCTATGTGCTCGGTGTAAGGGCGATCAGCAATCACTTGTTGGGCCGCTGTTGAAAGCGGTAAAATGTTAGCTGTCCGCGTCTGTGGATGCAGATTCGTAAACTAGATGGCCAGCGTGTCTCATACCCACTTTCGTCACTTATTTGACTCAAATTTATTCGAAGACATGAAGACATTATCTTGAGCCACCTTATACTCGTCTACACCCCGAAGAGAAGCTCCGCAGGAAAAGAACCTTCTCGTCTTTCTTTGGGGGGTTACACCAAATCGAAACTGATAAGAAGCACCATAGTTTGATGACCTCCGTTGGGAGTATTAAGAGAGCATGCTCGCACAAATATCAGTGGGGGGCGAACGTAAGGCACGGCAGCTGCGTGTTAATTTTCATCGAGTAACAGTGGTGAGTCCTTCACTCATCAGATCCCTCCGTGAAGATTGCTGACTACAGCCGGCTAAACAAAGAATCATCTCTCCGAACTCCGATCCACTGGCTGTTCAAGACGTCCGGAAGAGGGGAAGTCTAGAAGTCAGCAGTTTGATACTGTTTGCCGAAGAGTTACGTCATATCCTTTCGAGTCCATCTGGTGGGTTCTTGTGTTACTGAACCCTTTGAGAACTGCCCATGTCACCAGTAGCCGCCATTGGCAAGTCCAAAAACGAGAATAACTGGGCGTATGCTACCAGTGAAGGACGTCGCTCCGAGTAGTAGGTATGAGTGGTATACTTTGATTTGAAATCGCAAAATAGATATGTGGAATTGCCCAAGTTCTAGTTCCAAGCATGCCTTGATAGGATATCGCCATCCCAACCCTTTCTTTTGCTCTGCTCTATATTCAACCATCTTTAGGGACCTTCGCCGAGAAAACCTCACTTCTGGCTGCACTTATTCCCTGATCGAGTTTCTTATCACGATTCACTAGAGGGAACATGTAACAACGGTATTTTCTCAGCCTAGTCCTCGGTTTGAACCTTCCAAGCTAGCGTTCCAATCAAAATAACCACCAAAGGTGCACAAAGTGCGTTAACGCCCAAAACCAGATAAAAACGCCTGTAGTGAGCGTCGTTTACGAACAACGTTCTGGAAATTCGGACTCCTTCTGGATGCGACGCTGGCAACTAGCATTCGGCAGATATTGAATCATGATTGGCTGTTGGGCCCAAGTACTCGACCAATCAGAGCTCACCTTGATGCTGGACTGAAAAGCGGCCCGATCTTTAGGCCAATCGTGTGTGGGATAAGCTTCTTGGCTGTATCAGCGCCTAACTACGAGCGGTATCCGTGCTGAATCCCGTCTTACGAGAACTAACTCTGCCAAAATCAAACTTTGTTTGCAAAACGCCGTGACACTCGGCAAACACCAGCATGGGGTTGTCGGTAATTGTCATATCTACATAGTAGACATAATAACCACTTGGATTTTAGCAATATTTTGTCCGGATACCTCTAGCTGTAATCGAGGTCGTGTTTGGCTTAAGAGCAATGTGCACGGTTCGCCAAAATTTGGCAACACATGAAAGTCAGGCGACTAACGAATTGGAGGGCCATGAAGGCTCAAAGATCCCACAGTACGGTTTGACAGTAACTGCTTTCATCTCACATCGACATCTCATAGTCTATCTCACGCGAACCCTTCGCCAGCAACCGTCTGGAATGGAAAGTAGCACCTCGGTAGACGGCGGTTTGACATACGTACTACATGCTCCAGCCACGTTAATCTGGCAAGTTTAATCTTCATAAAGGAAACTATTCACAAGGTTTCTGAAAACTCTTCGACAGCCCACGATCAGTTTCGCCTTTCTTGGGGCTCATCAAGTAGGCGCAGTCCCCGAGTTTCCTTCAACCCAAATTGAACTGTTCTTTCGAGAAATACGCTCATTTGTAAATCAATTTGGTTTTCAAGATCGACTCAACTGAGTCTCTCGTATATGATATTCACTTGAGTCTCTCGTGAAAACCAAATTGATTTGCAAATGAGTGTATTTCTTGAAGTTTAATCTTGTTCAAGACATGATACTTAGAGGTACCAGTTGAAGATAGTTGGCTAGTAATGAAGAGCGAATCGGTTCCAGTCATTTACCGGGTTGCTGTTGTTCACGGGCGATAGTTGGGGGCAACATCTTAACTGTTTTGCTACCTAGAAGCTTCGGAAGTCACGCGGGTTTTTCAAGTCTGGGGTGGTAAATCGTTCGCTTCACTAAATCTCCACTATCAGAAGGTGTCTTTCATATCTGAACTGGTTCGCTTTTGCGTCTGGTCTTGGGAGATTCATCCTT